CATTTTTTAGTTAAAATATTTCTGTTTCCAAGAGTGTGTATATTCACATTTATATATCTTGTGTGTATCACCAAATGCTTGTTAAGGGTTGCTTTGAATACTGTTTTATAATTTCCTATTCTTTATTTGGTGAGAATTTTTTTTTAGCAACTAAGGTGTTTGTATTTCAACTTTTATAGTTTTGTTTTTCTCTATAAGAGTTTAGTTTCCTCTAGTCCTTGTCATTTCATAGGCTGGGTTACTGCTTAATGAAAGAATGCCCTGCCCACCCTACCAGTTTTATGAAATACAGTTTGATAAGTTAATGATGACCGTGGTGGAGGGGGCAGGAAGAATGATAGGCTTAACTTACCCTTTTCTTTTGTGTCTACTGGGTTCTTAATTTTCCCTTTTTTTTCCCCCCTGTGTTTTCCTTGCTATATTTCTAAGAACACAAGCATTCTCAATGTTACATTCTTCTGTATGGAGATGACACTTATCTGAGACAGTCACTTTTTATTTTGTTTGATTTTTGATTCTGTTTCCTATGACCAGTGCTGTAAACTCCAAGTACTGACTTGTGTTAATAATTTGGCACTTATTTGTATTATTATACTTTGTCTTTCTGAAAATGATTGTGTTACCTTTGCCAGTATCCTAAATACTTCTCTTTCTTTCATGGTGTTTCATACAAGCTTGTAGCAACTCTTGGTGGACTTTGATTTTTCTCACTTATAAATAATTTGTACTTTGGAATATTCTCTGCCCCTGAGTACTGCCAATAGCACAGATAACATGTGATTTAGCTTTTTCTTGATAAGCTCAGGGGTTTTGAGAGGAGGATGTGCAGAGAGATGCAAGTTCATATAACTGCCATAATCCTTCATACACAGAAACCTCTGGAATGGAATAATTTATCAATCAAAAGGCAACATATCATCCATATAAAATGGGTGAAAATGACATAGTAAAAATTATAACTTACATATTACATTTTCTCTTAACCATGATAGTAAAAATTCATAGACTTAAATTTTAGCTGAACTAATTATCTTCATTAAATAATTACCTTCATTAAATAAGTGAAATATAGCAGCTGACATAGGGATCACATATTTCAATACTAGAAAGAATAGTAAATAATGATTGTATTTATAGAACAGAAAGCTGAAAGAAAAATTATGGAAGTCTAATTAGCCCAGAGTGTTTACAGATGAGACTAAGAAAGATAGTCATTTGCCTAAGGTAACCTTAGGAATTACTAGAAGGGAAAGACCTGAAACCAAAATCTCAGTCGCCCTCTTCCTAAGGCCCCTCCCACTACACGGCTCCAATTCCGGTTCAGCGTTTGGTGAGTTAAGTAACATCATGGTCCTTTTCCTGTTGAGACAAAGGGAATTAAATCACATGCCCAAGATCTCGCATGCAGTAAGTAGCAGAAGCCGGTTGGAGAAGGCCAGGAGCCTTCTCATGCAGTCCCGTGCACTCACTGTGCTGCCCAGATTGGCCATCTGTTTCCCTTGCTGCCCTCTTTCTTTTCTCAAATGCTTAATGAACACCTGAAATAGTTCAAATTTTAATATCAAGTGGTGGAGTTTTAGTATCTTAACAGAATTTGCATCTAGTATGGTACATCTTAAAGGGATAAATGTGGATTAAAATTTCCATGGTGGGCCCTCCCTGGTGGCGCAGCGGGTTAAAGCACAGCACTGAGAATCTGAAGCCACTTCCGCATGAGTTCGATTCCCGCCTGCCGCCTGCCCGGGAGGAGACCACATGGCGAGCCAGACCTCTCCTGACCCGCCCGCTGCTCCCCTCAGCAGTGTACTTCGTCAATCTGCCTGTTCTGCTCCCCACTCTGTCTCTGGTGAAGCCTCTCACCGTCCCTGAGCCTCTGGCCTGTACCCCAGTTCTGTATGAATAAATAAATCTTTAAAAAAAAAAAATTTCCATGGTGTCCACAGTGCAAGTGATAGGTATTCTTTTTTTAAAGTTTCTTTTTACATCATTTTGTACATTTTTTTTTCATCTCAATTGTAATCCCCATGGGTTTCCCATCACCGAGTCACCCATATGCCATGTGATAGGTATTCTTAAAAAATTCAAAATTTTATAGCTAGGCTTTCCCTCTGTTCCTCGACAGCACTCTAAGTTCTTGGTCTAACTGAACCACCACATCCTGTCTGCTTGAAGAGCAGTGTACTTGCTATTGTGGTTTCCTCACTATTGACAAGAGGCTTATCCTTCAAATTCTCTTTTGGGTGCTCTTGAAATGTGTGCCTCATGTATGCCTTGGTCGCTTTATGTTGAATTTGCCTTGTGAGCCAAGGACAGCATGTTCTCCGCTGCGCCAATAGCACTTTCCCTTATACACTCAGGGAAAGCTCTCAACAGGGCTCAAAAGTCTTGACTGGAGTACTTCAGAAATAGGCCTGGTTTATACTTTTATAAAAACAAGCAGAGTCTGGCAATTCCTAGCTTGGAATAGCACTGATGATCTGAGTTTTTCTGAGCCCATGAATGGTGCTACCAAAAGACAAATGTCGAGCTCCCTGATTCCCACTCGCACGGGGGGAGGGAGAGAGGCTGTCACTCATTGCTTGGTGAAAGTGAAGGTGGCATCTTGTGACGTGAGTGGCTGGTGTTCATGAGGAGAAAAGTCTCATGACAGGTAGAGGTGTGATGTAGAGAAAGAGAGTTCAGAATGCCTATTCACCATCCCTGAGGGAGACAAGTTGGATTTTCTTCTTTTTACTTTTGATGGCATATGCTGATAGTTCATTTTTAACTTTGGAAAATCACTAAAGAAATACTTTAGAAATGCTAGTGGAAAAATCTTGAACCTGGAATTTGCATAGAACTCTGTCTTAAACATGCTGTATTTATTAGCATACTTTGGAGCTCCCAGAGGAAACTTTGTACGTCTTTTGGTTCCAGGAGACTCTAGGCAGAGATCCTTGACTGCAGTGAATTGGGAAGTTAGAATTCTTCCTGCTGCACAGAGGGGGCCTAGTGTGAGGGGGGAGAGCTTGTTTTGTCTTGTAAAGGTCTCATCTTGGATAAACATTTGCTCAACCAGCATGTGACAAGTGAAAAACGTGGAGTTTCTCCTCTTTCTGGAGGAGAAACAACATCACTCATCCCACTTTCTTTTGGGGCAAGAATGAAAATGTAAACTGGATTTGTATAGTATTTTGGTTCCTGAGTCTGTGAAACAGTTTTGCCACTTTTCCGAAAATCTCTCTAACATTGACTATTTTTTTCTTTGTCTTCCTTCCTAGTGTTTTCTCTCATGGTTTGGAGTATAGGCTTTGAGACCAGATAGACCATGAGGTGGTCATATCATCTCAATAAAACTCTCTGATGCAGTTCCTCATCTATAAAATGGAGTTATGTTTCTCTACAGATGATTTATACATGAGGATTTATTATAAAATATGTATATGTATTATTATCTATGTGTGCTTTGTGTGTGTGTGTGTGTATACATATACATATAAATATGAGGTGTATATGAGGTATACTTGGCCAGGTACTTCATAAGTTTTTAATAAATGGCATCTGTTATTAGCATAGTGGGCACTATTTATATAGTACTTAGACTAGTGCTTGGCATTACAAAACCAAAAACTGGTAGAAATCATTATATTACTAATTTTAGTAGTTATGAGTACCTCAAACTGAACATCCTCGTTAATGAGGTCTGTGGAGCATTTTAGGTTTTCTTTCAAAACCAGACCAAATATTTCAGTTTAGAGAATAAAAAACACATTGTAGTGAATAGGCCCGGGTAATAGGGGAAAGACTTTAAAAGTTACAATGTAGGACCTCCCTGGTGGCGCAGCCGGTTAAAGCACTGCACTGAGAATCTAAAGCTGGTTCCGCATGAGTTCGATTCCCGCCTGCCCCGGAGGAGACCACATGGCGAGCCAGACCTCTCCTGACCCGCCCGCTGCTCCCCTCAGCAGTGTACTTCGTCGATCTGCCTGTTCTGCTCCCCACTCTGCCTCTGGTGAAGCCTCTCACCGCCCCTGAGCCTCTGGCCTGTACCCCAGTTCTGTATGTACAAATAAATAAATTTAAAAAAAAAAAAGTTACAATGTAACTGAACTAAACTAGGTAAGTGTTTATCATCTATGCTGGGAAGCATCTGGCAAGACCCACAGGGAGTAGGTGATCTAGTGTGTGGTATACTGTACCTTCTATAGTAGTTATTTTTTTTTTTTAAGATTTATTTATTTATGCATACAGAACTGGAGTACAGGCCAGAGGTGCAGGGTGTGTGTGAGAGGCTTTACCCGAGACAGAGTGGAGAGTAGAACAGGTATATGGGCAAAGTTTACTGCAGAGGGGAGCAGTGGGCGGGTCAGGAGAAGTCTGCCACACCATGTGGGTCACCTCCGGGGCCAGGGATAGAATTTGTGCTGTAGTGGCTGCGATACAGCTTCATTGTGCTGTGCTTTAACAGATGTACCACCAGAGAGGGCCCAGTGCCATATTGTATAGCTTTTGTTTTGATTTTTAACTTAGAAAAAATGTGGAAAGCTAGTAGAAATTAAAAGAACTTTCTTGACTCTCTTCTTGACAATGCCATTTTGGGTCATTATGGAGAACTTGGGTTTGAACCTGGAAAATGGGGACCCTGTGGCCTTGGACAAATCTCTTCCTCCCGGACTTCACCATCCCTTTCTATCTGATGGGTTTCTAATATCGCCATTAATGGGTAACTGTAAGAACAAGTGGATAATTTTCCAGAAGCATTTCTAGCAGTGCTTGATACTTAGCTCAGCCCACATTTGTTATTATTTTTATGCCCTCCTTCCAGCTGCCAGAAGGATCTTTCTTTGAGGCACCATGACTGACTGATTCTGACTCAGAGGTGGCCAGTGTGTTGCTAGAGTGAGTCTTAATTTGGTGCCTTAAGCCCCACATGACTTTTCCAGGTGCTTGCAGAGTTCAAAAGCCTTTGTTTTGTTTGCTCTGTTTGAAGTGTGTGAAGTTTCTCACCCTCTCGATTTCAGTATTCTGGATTTCACACGGAAAGATCTGAATCAGATCACGACAGCCAGTGGGGCGGAAGCCCCCTGACGGACACAGCCTCACCACAGCTCCTGGACCCTAGCGACAGGCCCGGCTCTCAGCACGATGCCTCCTGTGCCTACAGGCAATTCTCCGACCGGGGCTCTCTCTGCTATGGCTTTGCGCTGGACCACTCCAGGCTGGTGGAGGAGAGGCACTTCCACACCCAGGCCTGTGAGGGGGGCCGGTGCGAGGCAGGCAGGTACTTCCTGGGAACCCCGCAGGCCGGGAGGGAGCCCTGGTGGGGCTCTCGAGCAGCCTTGCCCCTGACCAAGGCCTCCCCAGAGAGCAGAGAAGCCTATGAAAACAGCACGCCTCACATCACTTCAGTCCACAGGATCCATGGTAAGTAAGAGCCTCAATTCCTGAGTTCACAGCATGAGACAGGTTTATGATATTCTGGGTATGACATCTGAGTACTGTTTGAAATAACACGTCAGAATGCCATTTCATTGGGATTTAAACTCTCACCAATGGGATTTTTAAAAATCCTAGCGGGGGGGGGGGAGCCTTTAATCTAAAAGAACAAACAAACAAACAAAACCTAGACATTCTTTTAAAGTGTATTAATGTTGCTAATGTTTGCCAAATTTATTTATTGTTGACAGTGAGTAAAAAGGATTCCTATTTTACACTTCAAAAGAAACACAAAAATTAAAGTGAATTGTTGAATAAATCGAATAATATTGTGGTATGCACACATTTACATTTCCTGCTTATTATTTTTCTCTGTCATGCTTCAAATATGACTAAGCCATTCTGGGGCGCTCATTCAATGCTCTTTCTCTTTGAGGGTGCTGGTGGCATGTTGGGGAAAACCAATTTTTGTTATGGCCTGTCACTTAAATCATAAGATGTTTAACTTCTCTGACTATCTGGGTTTTAAATATCAATTATTGTCTCGGTGCCAACATTATTATACCATTATTATGACAGCCCACATTATCCCCGGTAAGTAAAGGGTGGAGTGATATATAGAACCCGGTGAGATTTTCACCTTGGGATTACATGGCTTTCCAGACACACAGAAATTGGCACCGCAGTGGAAGCTTTTGGTATTGGTAATGTTCTTTGTTCATTTTGAGCACCCATTCTGCCCATGAGGTCGCTGAAATCCCCTATTTATTAAAGTCAGTGACATTAAGATCGATCTGATGGCTCTGCTACTATTCTTGCTATGTCTTTTATATGAGAAGTGTTGCTAGACCATGTTGTACTGACCCTTGCATTCTCCTGCCAGATACTACCCAGGCATCGACTGGCTTCTGTGAATGATTTTGTCTCCAAAGCCATTTTGCTTTCTGTTTTTCTACCTTTATGTTGAGTTTCTCCCTGTTTGGTAGACTGGCAGTGGAAATCCAGGGCAAAGGGCAATTGCTTTCCAAAGAATGGAATGAAGACAAAATCCTGGTTTAACCTACAAGGTCTGGAAGAAAATATTAGAAATAAAATAAGAAGAAAAGGGAGTAGGAAAACAATGAATAGTGTGATCTAGAGCTTCTCTGCTACATTAAGCATTTAAAGCTTCCACGTGTCCTTCCTGTTTTACTTTTCTATATTAACTTAAGGCTATTTTGAGTCGTTTATAGAATGTATTTGGAATATATTTCCTCTGTATGAGATCACTTTACTTGGTATAAAGCAGGTTGTTGTCAACAATTTAAATATTTATTCTTCACTTTATTTCAGAACCAATCTAAGATCCCTGAGTTACTATGTGGTTTTGTGTGAATCAGATTTTTACCAGTAGATTTGAAAAGACAATATATCTTTGAGTGAGACAAGACAACACATATGTGCTTTTAAAACATAGCACTTGAGCTTTGTTTGGTAATGACTAAAAATGTATTTAGCAATGTCAATATTTTAGAAGATTACTTGGAAAGGAGAAAATAGTTTAGCCTATATCATCATCATCATCACCTTCATCAAACCTCAAAGCATTTTCTGAGCAACAATTTAACATAACATGTCTCTAGGAGATAATGTAAACCAAATGCTAAGTATTTTCCTTTTATTATTTACAGCCAGAGAGGTCCAATGATGTGCATACGGAAAAATATAAATGTACTTTCCAACTACTTCAAGGTAGACCATGAAGGTCTACCTTCTAAAAGCTTATTATAAATGTCATTTGCACTTGAAAGCCACTGAGAGCTTTGAATTCCAGTACAACATGTCAACATGTGAACCTATGTCTGTTTCAAATATTGGTGCACGTATTAAAAAATTAAGATATAAAGTTTCTGTTAATAAGAAAGAGAAATATATTTCCTTTTGGGGGGGTGAATTTTAAGGCCACTCACTTTCGCTTTCTCTCATTTCTAGGGCGAGGTCATTGGGATGAAGATAGTGTGGTCAGTTCTCCAGATCCGGGGTCTGCCAGTGAATCAGGTGACCGGTACCGCACTGAGCAGTATCAAAGTAGCCCACATGAACCTAGCAAAATTGAAACTCTGATAAGAGCCACCCAGCAAATGATTAAAGAAGAAGAGAACAGATTGCAGCTAAGGAAAGTCCCGCCAGATCAATTGGCTTCCATTAATGGAGCTGGGAAAAAACACTCCCTCTGTTTTGCAAACTACCAACAGCCCCCACCAACAGGTGAAGTCTGCCATGGTCCCGCTCTCACCAGTACTTCCCCATGTGACCACATCCAGCAGAGAGAGGGAAAGATGCTGAGCCCCCATGAAAATGACTATGACAACAGCCCTACTGCATTGTCTCGGATAAGTAGTCCCAATTCAGATCGTATTTCAAAATCCAGTTTGATCCTAGCCAAAGACTATCTACATTCGGATGTGTCTCCACATCAGACAGCAGGAGACCATCCCATTGTCTCCCCAAACTGCTTTGGCTCTCATCGGCAGTATTTTGATAAGCATGCTTACACATTAACTGGATATGCTCTGGAGCACTTATATGACAGCGAAACCATTAGAAACTATTCCTTGGGCTGCAATGGCTCCCACTTTGATGTAACTTCCCACCTAAGGATGCAGCCAGACCCAGCACAAGGACACAAGGGGACATCTGTCATAATAACCAATGGAAGCTGATGTTTTTCTAAAATATTTTGTTCTTTAAGAATCTCTGAAGCATATTTATAGTTTAATGCCCAATTACCAGTGTTTACTATGCCACAGATTGTTAGAGAGGATAATTTAAGTTGCTGGGTATTCGACATGTTTTCCTGTGAAATCAGAGAAAATCACACTAACATTCAGGGTTATACACAGATAATGGAGCTAAAGTGAGCACAATATGCCCCTCAATATGTATGAGAACAAGAATAGATAAAATTTGAATTGAAAAATTACCCATGTAGATTAGGTGAGCATACATACCACACAAAAGGACTTATGGATGATGTCAAATTATGATTCAGTGAACCTCATACACATAGATTGCTAGCCACAAACTTCTGTATATACTTTAATGCAGAAATAGAGACTACACACACCATAAATGTACCCCAAATGAATAACTTTCTGTAACCCTAGCACACTGAGCTTCTGAAAGAAATTTCCATTTCCAAAATAATTAAGAAAGAGAAATAGTAAACTGGTTTCTTTGTGGTTTCAAGTAATAAGTTCATTTAGTTCAGGTATAAGTTAGGGAAACAGTCCTGGATTTAGTGCAAGAATGAGTTTTTCACCTGGCATCCATTATCAGCAATCAGGAAGTGGTGATTTTTTACCTTATTTTTGAGTCAGACAAGGAACAGAATCACATTGGCATAGCAGTGAGGGTTTTCCTAAGTAAAAGCACTGAGATAGATGTCAGGATACACATCAGAAAACCTGGTGTACTCAGTTGGAAATAGTTTCATGGCAATGGGAAGGCCAAAAGCAGAGTACAAATGAAGTAATCTCAAACAATTTATGGCTCAGAATATGTACTCAACATATCTAGGCTAACCAAATAAAAAATTCAGACCAACTCACCAGGAAAAAAATGCTGATAGTGCAAAAAATAGCTAAGGAAAACTGGTGATGTGCTACATGACAGCAATATGCTCAAGATATTTCAAAGCACAGATGTGCAAATGTGACAGCATGTGGAAAACCTTGGGAGAGAGTCTAAGCAAGTGCTTAGGAAAGCAAGAACAGTGCTCTGACTGAAGGGACAGGTAATATGTTTGTTTTCTTTATTGCTTGTAAACAACAAACTTGGTCTTAAGTTCATGTGAAAAAGTAGAAAGACCAGCAGGTTAGATATGTGAGTTCCAGACCCTGCTTTTAACTTATTTTGGGAACAGAGATGTATCAGTTGCCATGCCTGGGCCCCACTGTCTTCATCTCAGTGACAGTGCTAATACCCCATGGCCCTGGGGTTCACTGTTGTGGCAAAACTAAACTTGTTAACCAGTTAACTCTCTGTGTGAGTTGTCAAGATGGATCACTCTTTCTGCATTCATACAGTGGCCTGGGTACTTTGTTTGAGCAGGTGAATGGGTTCCCTTAGGCCTGTGTAGTTACAGTCATCTGTCTAGGTTCAGTCAAAATGTAAATGGTAGAGAAGGAGGGAGAAGAAAGTAAGATATACCTAGTGCGTTATTTTCTATGCACACTGTATGCACAGTGACATACACAGTGACATAGATAATGAGTGAATTTTCATAGGTAACATTTACTAGGAGGCCCATGCCTAGACTTTTGCCGTATTCAAGGAGGGGAATATATTGAAGAACTTGATTTATAATTTTGAAGACATTGTGAGACATTGAACACTCAGGGATTAGTACTGTTTCCACTATGTAATACAGTTATTTGGCAGTCCATAGGTAGGTGACAATCTGAATGATGATAATCCAAGAGATAAGTACTAGATGTTTGTACATGAGAAAAGAGGCTATGTAAAATTAAATAAACATTTCATGGGTGTGGCAGAACAACGTTTGTTCTGTAAATGGGAAAAAATGCAAGTGAGAAAGTTAGTGGTTATATATACTTTCAAAAAGTTCAAAGTACAATAAGGCTAAAATTTGAGCTATATAAAAAGTATTTAGTAATTTTGAGAAAGACATTTATGAGAACCTCCTAGAATATTTAAAATGGACCTTAATCAATTTGCAATATGAAGTTTTAAGAATGCTAAAGTTTTTGCAGAATTCTATAGATGCATAAATGGTTCAAAAACAAAATAACTGAAAAATATGGTGTAATTAGAAAGAAAATCTATACATATGGATATACCTTCTAAAAATATACCTTCTATATAATGGTATACCTTCTAAAATGTCAGGGAGAGATGCTTAAAAGAAATAGAATCTTAAGGATCACAAAAAACAAACGGGATATGAAAGAAAAGACTGTCAGTGGAATGTTCATATGGAAGATAGTTAACAAATGAAAGAAAGTAATTATGAGCTTTACTAGGGGATAATCAAAAGGAAACATGAGCTTTCAGATGGTATAGCCAATATTTTCAAGTGAAGATAGAATTAACCAAATTACATCTTAATTAAAAATTTCAGTGAATTGACTGAGCTTTAAATACACAGCCATTTAATTTACTGTATATCAATAATTTTATAGTAACAGATTTATTACATTACTTGTAATGCCTTATAGGCCCACAGTACACAGTATATATATATATATATATATATATATGTGTATATATATATATATAATATATACATATATATATATATATATCTTTCTTTCTTACAACATCACATGTTTATTACAAAATGACCCAAAACAAGTTGAGACAGTTTTTTTTTTTTAAGATTTATTTATTTATATAGAACTGGGGTACAGGCCAGAGATGCAGAGGGTGAGAGGATTCACCAGAGACAGAGTGGGGGGCAGAACAGGCAGACTGACGAAGTACACTGCTGAGGGGAGCAGCGGGCTGATCAGGAAAGGTCTGCCTCGCCTTGGGGATCTCCTCCGGGGCAGGCGATGATCGAACTCATGCGGAAGTGGCTTAAGCTTCTTTGTGCTGTGCTTTTAACCCGCTGCGCCACCAGGGAGGGCCCTGAGACAGTTTTATGACAACGTGGTTTAAATACATCAATGTGTTAAAAGGTATTTATAATCTATATTATTTTGCTCTGTACAAGGTCATATTTCCTCATAATGATGTCATCTGTGTCTTTAAAATATGGGATGTAAGATATATATGTTCCCCCAAATTTAATAAGTTAAAATTAAACTTAATTTGGTTTTAGTTTTAATCTTTGATTTCCATAACTTGGACAAATATGGAGAATCATGAAATAGAGAAAGAAAGATTTTTTTTTTTAAATCAGCTTGGAGAGTCACCAAAATGTGCTATATCTAATTATCAGTACACTATGTAGCAGTTTGTTAGATAACACAAATTTCATACTTTCTAGTAATAGCAAACATAATATTATTGCTCATCTTACCTGCCTGCCATCCCTAACCTAAAATTTTGGATGACCAAAGAAGTTAGTGAATATTTCCCCAATCTTCCTTGGGAAATTTTGTTAAAATTATTGAGAAAATGAAGATTGTTGTTATGATAATGGCAGTTCTGATATTTAGGCATACTTCATTCAGCTCCAGAAGTCTTTTGACGTACTCTCCTGCCTGACTATATGAGCTATCTTTTTCTAAACTGCAGTTGCCTGATATAGGAATCTATGACACAGTGCTGATTGTGAAATTCAAAATGACACAGGATGCAATAAATGATTTCCCTTCTATGTTTATATAGAAAAAATATTTGTCATTTCTGGACTATATAGGTCTAGCGTATTTCTACTAGTCTTAATTCTCCCTGTACTCTGTTGCCACAGGCTGCCCCTGGCCAGATAATTCCACTTGACATAGGCTTTAATGATATCCTCTGGACCAGGATAACACGCTTCTTTTTCTTTCTTTTTGCATTTTAAAGAAGATTTATTCATACATACAGAACTGGGGTACAGGCCAGAGGTGTGGTGGATGAGAGGGTTCACCAGAGACAGAGTGGGGAGCACAACAGGCAGATTGATAAGGTACACTGCTGAGGGGAGCAGTGGGCGGGTCAGGATAGGTCTGCCACACCAGGTGGGTCAGCTCCCTGGCCGGGGATTGAACTTATGCTGCAGTGGCTTCGGAGAGCTTCATAATGTGGTGCTCTTTTTCTTTCTTAATGGGCAATGGGGATTGACTCAATAAAAGATCATTTGGAAAATCTGAACAGATATTTAATAAAATAATAGGCTTTCCCTCTTCAAGACCAAGACCAAATAAGTTAGATCAAATACACTATAAAGAGACATTCTGAATATGGGCATAGTATTTTATGGTTCTCTTTCTTTAGGAGGGTGTTAATAATACTCAGTGCAATTCTATTCTACTAGTAGTACTTGACTGTAATATAGTAAATGCTGATATTTGGAAAACCGAGGATTTTGTCATTTGGGGGTCCCTAACCTTTGCCCGGTGAAATAACTTATACTTTATACTTCCTTTGATTTAAAAAGTTTGAATACACAGATTTGATTTCCAGTTCATGCAAATCACATATATACATCCAATTTTCTAAATGAATTAATTATGAATGTAAATTCTGTGGTTCTCCAAATTACAGTTCAACTTTCATGTAAATGTCAGTTTTTGTGAATAGAAATTTGACAGCAAGATCTACTGGCTAGTTCTTTCTGGGAAATGCATTGTGGATAATATCAATTATTCTAAATTTTAAATGAATGACTGAATAACTGGACATGTGCAAAGGGTATCTTCATATAAAATATTCTTGGGGGAAATTTCTGTATGGTGCTCATTTCTTGTGCACAAGATTTGTACGGGTAGTGCTTAACTCAAAACGTGATATTGTGCTCATATCCAAATTGGGGTTTGGTCAGCGTTCCTTCTCTAGGACTGTATACAGCAAGGCTGAATGTGTGTGTATAAATTATATATATGCATATATGTACACACACAGATGCAATTGTAAAGAAGGTAGCAAGATTCTATTTTGCTGTGCTCTTTTAAAAATGATGATTCACATAAGAAATCCTAATTAATAATTTTAAGCTAAACACTTATAGTTTTATTTATTGCAATATTGCTGCATGGGACTTTGCTTTCAT